GTCCGGCCCCGCGGCAGCGCCCGCACGCCCGGCGAGCAGCGGCGCCTGCGGCGGCACCGCTTCTCCATCAACGGGCACTTCTACAACCACAAGGTGAGCGGGAGCCATGGGATCCAGGGGGATCCAGGGGGATCCAGGGGTCCGGGGGGAACCAGAGATCAAGGAGATCCAGGGATCTGGGGGGGATCCAGGAGATGCAGGGATCTGGGGGATCCAGGGAGCTGGGGGGATCCTGGGATCCCAAGGGATCTGAGGGATCTGGGGTTATGCAGGGGGGATCCAGGGGGAACCGGGGGATCCAGGGATCAGGGGCATCTGGGGGATCCAGGGAGATCCAGGGGGATCTGGGGGGATCCAGGGATCAGGGGGATTGAGGGGGATCTGGGGGGATCCAGGTATGCAGGGGGATCTGGGGGATCCAGAGGGATCCAGGAAGATCCAGAGGGATCTGGGGGGATCCAGGGATCAGGGGGATCCAGGGGATCTGGGGGGACCCAGAGATCCCTGGATCCAGGGGGATCTGGGAGTATCGAGGGGGATCCAGGGGGACCAAGAGGATCCAGGAGGATCTAGGGGAATCCAGGGACCCGGGAGATCCAGGAGGATCCAGTGGGATCCAGGGGATCCAGGGATCAGAGGATCCAGGGGGATCTGGGGGGTTCTGGGGGGATCCAGGGGGTCTGGGGGATCCGGGACGAGGGGGGCAGGCCCCGGGCAGGCCCCCAGTGCCGCCTGTGCCCGCAGACCGCCGTGTTCACGCCCGCCTACGGCTCCGTCACCAACGTGGGGGGTTCGGGGTGGGGGAGGGGCCCCAAAGCCCGGCCGGTGCCACCCGTGCCAAGGCAGGGTCACCCCGCTGTCCCCGGGGGCTCTGAGCCCTGCCCGGCCTGGCCAGGACACAGCCAGGGGGGATTCTGGTGTTATTTTTGTATTCTTGTATTCTTTTTGGGTTTTTTTCCTATTATTTTTGTGTTATTTTTGTATTCTTGTATTATTTTTGTATTATTTTTGTATTATTTTTGTGGTTTTGTATTATTTTTGTATTATTTTTGTGGGTTTGTATTATTTTTGTATTATTTTTGCATTGTTTTTGTATTATTTTTCTATTATTTTTGTATTTTTGTATTATTTTTCTATTATTTTTGTATTATTTTTGTATTTTTGTGTTATGTTTGTATTATTTTTGTATTTATGTATTATTTTTTATTATTTTTGTATTATTGAATTATTTTTTTGTATTATTTTTGTATTATTTTTGTGGGTTTGTATTATTTTTGTATTATTTTTGCATTGTTTTTGTATTATTTTTCTATTATTTTTGTATTTTTGTATTATTTTTCTATTATTTTTCTATTATTTTTCTATTATTTTTCTATTATTTTTCTATTATTTTTCTATTATTTTTCTATTATTTTTCTATTATTTTTCTATTATTTTTGCATTATTTCTGCACTAATTCCCAGCCAGCCCCTCCTCACCCTGGCAGGGTTTATCCCCGGTGAGCAGGGGCTGCTTTGTGGGGTCTGTCCATGAAAACCCCAAATCCCCGGAATTCCCGGAGCTGTCCCGGAGCAGCCCCAGCCCGGGGTGTGCCCGGGGCTCAGCGATTTCCCAGGAATTGTTTCCCAGCATCTCCCCTGAGCCCTCTCCTGCCTCACCCCGAATCCCGCCCCAAACCCGGCATTTTGGGGTGAATTTGGGATTAAGAAACCCTGAGACTTTGGGGGCGCTCAGAGCCACCTCCAGCAGCCAAAATAAATAAACATTGAGTGGCTCTTTTCCCCCATGGTCACAAACATCATTTTTTTTAGGGTTTGCTATAAAATTTTGGGATCTTTGGTTAAATCCACGCAGGGGGTGGGGGCGGCTGGGCTCAGCCCCTCCCCACCATCCTCTTCCTCTCCTCTGCCACCCAGGTGGCCCAGTACATCAAATTCGAGATGCCCACCCTCAGGAGCTTCATCCAGAAGCTGGAGGAGGAGGAGGACCGGGAGGTGAAGAAGCTGAAGCACAAGTGCGTGGGGCTGGGGGGGAAACATCCCAAAAAACCTCATTTGTGCAGCCCCAGCACGGGGGTGATCCTGCCTGGTGATCCCCGGGCTGGGGAAGTGGAGAGGGGGGAAAACAGCAGGGGAAAATCCTCATTTCGGGATTTTTTGTGGGATTTGCCACCCGGTTTTGTGGTGTTTCCTCCCAAAGTGAGGTTGAGCATCCCTGGATTGGGGTTTGCATTATTCCATAACTGAAAAATCAATTTTTTTTTTATCCCTGTGCCTCCCCAGATACTCCACCCCCATTTCAGGATTTTTTTTATGGGATTTGCTGGTTTTTGTGGTGTTTCCTCCCAAAGTGAGGTTGAGCATCCCTGGATTGGGGTTTGCATTATTCCATAACTGAAAAATCAATTTTTTTTAATTTAATCCCCGTGCCTCCCCAGATATCCCATCCTCATTTTGGGATTTTTTATGGGATTTGCTGGTTTTTGTGGTGTTTCCTCCCAAAGTGAGGTTGAGCATCCCTGGATTGGGGTTTGCATTATTCCATAACTGAAAAATAAATTTTTTTTTTTTTTTTTACTCCCTGTTCCTCCCCACATACTTTTTTTTTTTTTTATCCCTGTTCCTCCCCAGATACTCCACCCTCATTTCAGGATTTTTTTTATGGGATTTGCTGGTTTTTGTGGTGTTTCCTCCCAAAAGTGAGGTTTGGCATCCCCGGAGTGGGGTTTTCATTATTCCATGGTTGAAAAATCCTTTTTTTTTTATCCCTGTGCCTCCCCAGATATCCCATCCTCATTTCGGGATTTTTTTTGTGGGATTTGCCACCCAGTTTTGTGGTGTTTCCTCCCAAAGTGAGGTTTGGCATCCCCGGAGTTGGGATTTGCATCATTCCAGGCTTGAAAAATCCTTTTTTTTATTAATATCCCTGTGTCTTCCCAGATACTCCATCCTAATTTCAGGATTTTTTGTGGGATTTGCTGGTTTTTGTGGTGTTCATTCCAAAACTGGGGTTTGGCATCCCCGGGGCGGGATTTGCATCATTCCAGAATTGAAAAATCGATTTATTTTTCATCCCTGTTCCTCCCAGATACTCCACCCTGCGGCTGATGATCGAGCAGAGGCTGGAGGAGATTTCCGAGGGCCCCACGGCCATGTGAGCGCCCCTGGGACGTGCTGCACCAAACCCCCACCCCAAAACCGCTCCCGGTGTCCCCCTGGCTGCCCCCAGCCCCCAGCCCAGCCCCCTCCCCAGGAATCCTCGGGGGCTCTTCCCAGCAAGGCTCTGGCTGGCAGCAGAAACCTCAAATCCCTGGAAAACACAGGGAAAAAAATACAAAAAATGAGAAAAAAGAGGAAATCTGTGAGCAGCTGCCGGAATTGCGGAGCTGGAATTTTGGGGGGCTCGGGTTGGGGATGCCCGAGGTGGCTCCCAGGGAAGGTTCTGCTGCTCGGCAGCAAAACAGCACAAAAAAATCCTCTTTTTTTTATAGAGAAAAGCACATTCCTGCCCCGTCACCGCAATAATTCCCCGGTGTCGGGAGGATTTTATAAATCCAAAGGGTCGGTGAGGTTTTGGGGGGTTAACCCTGACCTGGGGGCTCCTGGAGGCATTTCCAGCCCAGCAGAAAATCCCATTTCCCCAGCCCCGCTGTCATTTGCACTAATATTTAGGGATTTTGAAGCAAACCACGATGTCAAACCTCTCTGGGAGCTGAAAATGCCAAACAGCCCTCGCCGAGAGGGGCAGAGGCAGAAATAAAGAGGATTTTGTTTTCCAAATCCATTCACCAGGAAATTATCCTGGTGAGAGCAGGAAAAATCCTCTTTCTCCCAGGCTAAACCAGCAATACCCATTTTATACCTCGATGTGAACTAAACCTCCGACTTCCTCCCCCTTCCCCTTGAGTTTTTGCAATGCATCTTTGTAAAAAGAAAATTTTTTTAATTATTAATTTTAATTTTAATGGTACCTTTTCCACCTTTGGCTCACGTTGGGGGAAAGTGTTGTACAGCGAGAGGAGCTTTTGGTGTGTTTGAAGGATGATTGTGGCACTGCTGCGTGGATTAACAAGGAAATAAAATAAAATAAAATAAAATAAAATATGTAGCAACTTCATGCAGAGTGAAATCTCCTGAGTCAGAGCCTGGCTTTCCACAATAAATCACTTTTTGTGGATAGAAATGCCATGGAAATGGGTAAAAAATGAGGGGAGAAAGGAAAATCCCAGTGGAGAAGTTCCCCAAGGAGAAACCACCCAGATTTAAACTCCCACCTAAATTTCTGGAGGAATTTTGGGGAACACTGGGCAGGTTTAGGGCCTGGCTTGTCCAAAATCAATCACTTTTTCTGGATAGAAATGGGTAAAAAATGAGATAAAGGAAAAGAATAAATCCTGAATCCCAGTGGAGAAACTCCCCAAGGAGAAACCTCCCAGATTTAATTCCCCACCTAAATTTCTGTCAGATTTTTGGGTCATATTGAGGGTTTAAGGCCTGGCGTGTCCAAAATAAATCACTTTTTTTGTGCATAGAACCACATTAGATATAAGTAAAAAAAGTAAAACCTGTCTGAACCCAAGTGGAGGAGCTCCCAGAGCTCTCCCCTCCCAGATTTAAACTCCCACCGACATTTCTGGGTAATATTGAGGGTTTAGGGCCTGGCTTTCCACAATAAATCACTTTTTGTGGATAGAAATGCCACGGAAATGGGTAAAAAATGAGGGGAGAGAGGAAAATCCCAGTGGAGAAGCTCCCCAAGGAGAAACCACCCAGATTTAAACTCCCACCTAAATTTCTGGAGGAATTTTGGGGAACACTGGGCAGGTTTAGGGCCTGGCTTGTCCAAAATCAATCACTTTTTCTGGATAGAAATGGGTAAAAAATGAGATAAAGGAAAAGAATAAATCCTGAATCCCAGTGGAGAAATTCCCCAAGGAGAAACCTCCCAGATTTAATTCCCCACCTAAATTTCTGGCGGATTTTTGGGTAATATTGAGGGTTTAAGGCCTGGCTTGTCCAAAATAAATAACCTTTTGTGGATAGAACCACTATAGATATAAGTAAAAAAAAGTAAAACCTGTCTGAACCCAAGTGGAGGAGCTCCCAGAGCTCTCCCCTCCCAGATTTAAACTCCCACCGACATTTCTGGGTAATATTGAGGGTTTAGGGCCTGGCTTTCCACAATAAATCACTTTTTGTGGATAGAAATGCCACAGAAAAGGGTAAAAAAATGACATGAGGGGAAAGAATAAATCCTGAGTGCCAGTGGAGAAGCTCCCCAAGGAGAATCTGGGCCACCTCCCAGATTTAAACTCCCACCTAAATTTCTGGTCCATTTTTGGGTAATATTGAGCTCGTTTAGGGCCTGGCTTTCCAAAATAAATCACTTTTTTGTGGATAGAACCACTACAGAAACGAGTAAAACCTGTCTGCACCCAAGTGGAGGAGCTCCCAGAGCTCTCCCCTCCCAGATTTAACCCCCTCCCAAATTTCTGTTGGATTTTGGGGGCACTGGCCAGGATCCGTTTCCCCCCGGGCATTACCCCCCCCGGGATAATTTACCCCCAGTCCCGTGGGTGTCCCCTCCCAGCAGGTGAAAGCCGGGCTGGTTTTTCCCCCTCCCCTCCCGGGGGCAGGATTTGAGCTGAGCCCAGCAGGAACAGCCCGGGCAGAGCCGCGGCAGCCCCGGCGCACGGGTAAGGCAGCAGCTCGCCTTTCTGGGGTGAAAACGGGCGGAATCGGGTCTGGAGAGAGGGGAAATCACTGGGGTTTGTCTGGGACAGAGCTGAGCTGGAGGCTGGCGTGGGCACGGCAGCGCCGGGGTGTTCCCTGCATGGTGATCCCTGAACTTGGGGAGGTGGAGAGGAGGGGGAAACAGGGGGGGGAAATCTTAATTTTGGGGGTTTTTGGTTGTCTGGGACAGAGCTGAGCTGGAGGCTGGCGTGGGCACGGCAGCGCCGGGGTGTTCCCTGCATGGTGATCCCTGAACTTGGGGAAGTGGAGAGGAGGGGAAAATCTTAATTTTGGGGTTTTTTGGTGGGATTTGCTGGTTTTTGCGGTGTTTCCTCCAAAAAGCTTGTCTGGCACAGAGCTGAGCTGGAGGCTGGCGTGGGCACGGCAGCGCCGGGGTGTTCCCTGCATGGTGATCCCTGAACTTGGGGAGGTGGAGAGGAGGGGGAAACAGGGGGGGGAAATCTTAATTTTGGGGGTTTTTGGTGGGATTTGCTGGTTTTTGTGGTGTTTCCTCCAAAAAGTGGGTTTTGGCATCCCTGGAGCGGGGTTTGCATTATTCCATTATTTCCATTATTCCAGGTTTGCATTATTCCAGGGTTGAAAAATCCTTTTTTTATCCCTGTGACTCCCCAGATATTCCATCCTCATTTCGGGGTTTTTTTGTGGGACTTGCTGCCCAGTTTTGTGGTGTTTCCTCCCAAAGTGGGTTTTGGCATCCCTGGAGCGGGGCTTGCATTATTCCATTATTTCCATTATTTCAGGTTTGCATTATTCCATCCTTTTTTATCCCCGTGCCTCCCTGGATACTCCATCCTCATTTCGGGTTTTTTGGTGGGATTTGCTGCCCAGTTTTGTGGTGTTTCCTCCAAGAATGAGGTCTGGCATCCCCACAGTGGGGTTTGCATTTTTCTGGGGTTGAAAAATCCTTTTCTATCCCTGTGCCTCCCCACACACTCCATCCTCATTTTGGGTTTGTTTTTTGGGTTTTTTTGGTGGGATTTTCCACCCGTTTTTGTGGTGTTTGTGCCAACAGCTGGAAGGAGGGGACACTTCTCACTATTTTCCCTAAAATAACCCCAAAAACAGACTGAGAGGGGCAGGAAAATGATGCAAATTAAATGAATTTCTATTTTTGAAGGGCTGGGGTTGGGACGGGCGGGGGGGGCCAGGCCTGGCAGCTTCCAGGGGGGAGAAAATCGCTGACACAGGGATGTCGCTGCCAGGGGGGCTCTGCTTTGTCCCCGGGCTTTTTGTCTTGTCTTTTTGTCTGCCATGGCTCAGCAGCTGCAGCACAATGGGGATGTGTTTGCTCAGCCCCGGGGGAGGGGCGCGGGGGGGTCCCATCCCGAATTTGGGGGTTTTTTGGGGTGGTTTGCCGCGTGGTGCCCACGGCCGCTGCTTGCTGGGAGATTGGGATGAGGTGAAAATGTGAATTAATGGGTTAAATGGCAGGATTCTGGAGTGGGGTGGGTTGGGAGGGGCCTGGAAGGTCAGCCAGAAGAACTCCTCGTTATGGGGGGGGTTGGCTTGGTGCTAATGCCACCGAGTTTGGGGCTTTGAGCTCTGCCTGTGCCACTCGTGGAATCGCACACTCACAGAATTGCACACTCAGAGATTCCCACACTCACAGAATTGCACACTCACAGAATTCCACACTCACAGAACCCCACACTCAGAGATTCCCAGACTCACAGAACCCCAGACTCACAAAATTCCACACTCAGAATCCCAGACTCACAGAATCCCAGACTCACAGAATCCCATACTCATAAAATTACACTCTCAGAACTCCACACTCAGAGATTCCCAGACTCAGCACACTCACAGAATTGCACACTCAGAGATTCCCACACTCACAGAATTGCACACTCACAGAATTCCACACTCACAGAACCCCACACTCAGAGATTCCCAGACTCACAGAACCCCAGACTCACAAAATTCCACACTCAGAATCCCAGACTCACAGAATCCCAGACTCACAGAATCCCATACTCATAAAATTACACTCTCAGAACTCCACACTCAGAGATTCCCAGACTCACAGAACCCCAGACTCACAAAATCACACACAGAATCCCAGACTCACAGAATCCCAGACTCACAGAATTCCACACTCACAGAATTCCCCACTCACAGAATTCCACACCCATAAAACTACACACTCATAAAGTTACACACTCAGAATTACACATTCAGGATTACAAGTCACAGAACCCCAGACTCACAAAATTACAGACTCAGAGAATTCCACACTCACAGAATTCCACACTCAGATTCCCACACTCACAGAACCCCAGACTCACAGAACCCCGCACTCACAGAATTCCACCCTCAGAATCCCAGACTCACAGAATCCCAGACTCATAAAATTACACACTCCCAGAATTCCACACCTCAAAATTCCACACTCAGAGATTCCCACACTCACAGAACCCCACACTCAGAGATTCCCAGATTCACAGAACCCCACACTCAGAGATTCCCACACTCAGAACCCCACACTCAGAGATTCCCACACTCACAGAACCCCACACTCACAGAACCCCACACTCAGAGATTCCCACACTCAGAGATTCCCACACTCAGAGATTCCCACACTCACAGAACCCCCCACCCACACAACCCCCAGCTCAGAACCCCCCATCCTCACAGACCAATCTCCACCAACCACCCACAGACCCCTCGCAAACCCCCCCAAAATCCGGAAAACCCCTTCGAGCTCACCAAGACCCCACCGGTACGGCATGGGGGTGCTGGGGCGCCCGCGGCCGTCCCGCCTGGGCCACGGCGTGCCGGCGGGCAGGCAGCCGCAGGGGGCCGGGGGCTTCCACGCCGGGGGGTGGCCCGAGCTCGGGGGGAAGCGGGGAGCCCCCAGCAGAGCCCCCCGAGAGAGGGGAGCCGGCCTCGGGCTCGCCCTGCTGCTGGCGTGCGGAGCCTGCCTGGTGAGCCACGGGATGCAGCGCTGAGGGGACCCCGGGACCCCCCCGGGACCCCCGGGACCCCTCCCGGGCACCCCCGGGACCCCCGGCCCGCGTTTCGGGGAGAATTGACTTTCCTGGGGGAGTGGATGTGGCTTGGGGAGGTGGGAGAGGCGCTCCCGGGGCCGGATCCAGAACCTCACCCGGGACCGGGTGGATCCTGCGAGACCCAGCCAGGACCGGGGGGATCCCGTGAATCCAGCCGGGACTGGATGGATGCTGCAAACCCACCCGGGACCGGATGGATCCTGCAATTCCACCCGGGACCAGAGGGATCCCGTGAACCCATCCAGGACCGGAGGGATCCCACAAACCCCCCCGGGACCGGAGGGATCCCACAAACCCACCCCGGACTGGATAGATCCTGCAAACCCACCCGGGACCGGATGGATTCTACAAACCCACCCGGGACCTGATGGATGCTGCAATTCCACCCGGGATGGGGTGGATCCCGTGAATCCAGCCGGGACCAGAGGGATCCCGTGAACGCTCCCGGGACCTGATGGATTCCACAAACCCACCCGGGACTGGAGGGATCCTGTGAACCCACCCAGAACTGGATAGATCCTGCAGTTCCACCCGGGACGAGATGAATTCTGCAAACCCACCCAGGACCGGAGGGATCCTGCAATTCCACCCGAGACTGGTTGGATCCCACAGACCCACCCGGGAGCGGAGGGATCCCAGCCGGGACAGGACCTGTGCGATCAAACCCATCCCTGCCAGGACCTGTGGAAGCGATGCCGGCTCTCGGCTCACCCAGAGCCGCTCCTTGCCCCGAAGAGCGGCGGGACTGCGGGGAGGGGGCTGCGGGCTGGCAAAGGGGGGCTCAGCCCCGCAATAAAGTTTGGCCTTGAGACATGCGCTGATTTTAACCAAACCCGCGGGTTTTGGCCCTGGGAATCTCCGAGGGGGTTGCGCTGCTCCAGGTGAGAGAGAAGCCAAATGCAGGAATTTCCCGGCTCCGGGGCAGCACAAAGCCGGGGATTGGAGCGGATTTTTGGGATGTTCACCCGGCTCGGACGGGAGATGGAGCTGTTGGCCCGGGATTCCCAGCCCGCAGGGATAAAACCAGCCCCGGCCGAGGTCTGGGCTCCCGGCGCACCCCGAGCCTCTAAATCAGAATATTCCTCCTCCAGCTCCCCGCAAACCGGGCACTGGGCACCAAAATTCCCCTTTTTAGGGCTTTTTCCAGGCAGGAAAAACGTACTGGGCTGGTCTGCCCGGGTGGGGGGAGGTTTATTCGGGGAGATGGGGGGTGCCAGGGGCTGTGTGATGAGAGAGTGGGAGAAAACCCTAAAAAAAAACACCTCAGATTTTATGGTATTTACAGTTTGGGGGGGTATTTACAGTTTGGGGGGTATTTGGGGGGATGCCAAGGGCTGTGTGATGAGAGAGTGGGAGAAAACCCTAAAAAAAAACACCTCAGATTTTATGGTATTTACAGTTTGGGGGGGTATTTACAGTTTGGGGGGTATTTGGGGGGATGCCAAGGGCTGTGTGATGAGAGAGTGGGAGAAAACTCTAAAAAAATATCAGATTTTATTGTATTTACACTTTGGGGGAGTTTTTACATTTTGAGGAGATTTTACACTTTGGGGGGTATTTAAACTTTGGGGAGTTTTTACACTTTGGGGGAGTTTTTACATTTTGGGGTGTATTTACATTTTGGGGGGGGTATTTATATTTTGGGGGATATTTACATTTTGGGAGGGTATTTACATTTGGGGGAGTTTTTACATTTTTGGGGTGTATTTATATTTTGGGGTGCATTTATTACCACCCTGGTAATTCAGAAACTCCTCTGTGCGTGGCTCCTGTGCACACTGCAGGGTTTGGAGTATTTAGCTCATTAATTCATTAATTTCTCTGCTTCAGCAGATCACTGCAGAGGGGTAATTTGATCCAGCTGTCCTTAAAGGACACAAGGGTTCAGAGTGTCACCCCACTTGGGTGTTCCCAGAGCCAGGAAAGTTCTGACCTTCCCTGCTGAGCTCCAGAAATCCCCGTGGAGGGTTAAAAAACCGGGGGGCTGCGTGTGCAGGGAGAGGAAAATGTTATTTTTGAGCTCCTCAATGTGTTTCCCATGACTGGGAGGGAGGGAGTTGAAGGTTTTGGGGTTAAAAATGAGAAATTTGTAGTGAAACCCTCCCCCGGGGAGTTCACGGTGCAAGTGCTGGGTGCCTCCTCCTGGAAATACCCACGAGTTCATCCCAGGAAATGTGGGGGTTTAAAACGAATCAATTTGTTCCCTTCCTTTGGACGAGGTGAAGATTTTCCTTGCTGCTTTTGGGGGAATTTCTCCTCCTCCCACGGGGCCGCAGCTGGTCAGAGCCGGGGCTGTCGGAGGAGGGGTCCTGCCGGTGTGAAATGCAAATAAATGGAAATAAATGGAAATAAATCCCTTGGAGACGGATCGGCACCGAGCTCCGGGGGTTCTGCCCGGGGCCGCTCAGGTGAGAGCGCACCTGCAGGGCTGGGAGCGCACCTGGGGCCGGGCTGGGACAGCTGGGAGTGCTCTGGAGAAGGGAAATTCCAGGGAGAGCTGGGAATGTTCAAATGGAGAAGGGAAATTCCAGGGAGAGCTGGGAATGTTCAAATGGAGAAGGGAAATTCCAGGGAGAGCTGGGAATGTTCATCTGGAAAAGGGAAATTCCAGGGGGTGATGGGAATGTTCCCCTGGAGAAGGGAAGGATCCAGGGAGAGCTTCCAGCACATTCCAGGCCCTGCAGGGGCTCCAGGAGAGCTGGATTTGGGATAAGGGATGGAGGGACAGGACACAGGGAATGGCTTCCCACTGGGAAAGGGGAGATCTGATGGGATTTTGGGATGGAATGAGGGTGGAGGAGCGGGGATGGAATTCCCAGAGCAGCTGGAAGTGCCCCACATCCCTGGAGGTGCCCCAGGCCAGGCTGGAGCCCCTGGGACAGCGGGAGGTGTCCCTGCCATGGCAGGGGTGGCACTGGATGGGATTTAAGGTAGCTCCCAACCCAAACCACTCCAGAATCCCACAACAAAGTGTCCAGAATCCCACAATAAAGTGTCCAGGATCCCAGGATGAAGCAGGGCTTGGGTCGGGCTTAACGCCACCGAAACAGCAAATGTAAAAACTCCTTTATTAGAACAGAAACTGGAACGAGACAGAAATTAGAAAACTCTTGGACTGCAGCGGTGCCATCGGTGGGAGCAGAGGAGGAGAAAAGGTTAACTGGGACTGTGGGGATTGGGCCAAACTTGGGGCTGGAAGGGAACAAAAGCTCCCTCAGGGAAATTCGGGAAATGCAGAAATGCGGGAAATGCAGAAATGCCCGGGGCTGGCACACAAAGGAGGCTGCCGGGCACCTTGGCTTGATCCGTTTTAATTGGTACCAGACGTGGAACACTTAGAAAAGGCTCAGCACGGCAAATCCCGGCGGGCATGCAGCGTGACGGTTACAAAACATCCGCGCAAGGACGGGCACCTCAAAGCCCTGCTCTGCCGGTGCCTGTCCCCAAAGGCTTCTTTGCTCTCTGTTTATAGGTATTTTTATATATATATATATATAATATATATCTTCACTTAGCGTACAACGATGCAAAAAGGAGGGGGGAAAAAAAAACCTCGTTTAGGACAGTGTTATTCAGTGCCTTGCAAAAATAAAACACACGAGAGATATCAAACGCAGCGCCACGGGTGTTACAGCTCGAGAAGCAAGAATTCCACCCGCTGCTTCCACAGGGCAAAGGGACTACTGCAAATGTGATTTTTTGTAAAGCATCTCCCTTCCCACCCCCGTTTTTCCCGGTGCTGGTTGCTGTACCGGCGTGGTTTAGCTGGTTTCAGGCTCTTGCTACGTGCCTGGCCCCCCTGAGAATCCTTTGTGCTGCACTTTAACGTCCTCCAGGCCCAGGTGCCGAAGCGTGAGCACGACTTGGCACCTGGAGCACCCAAACCAGCTTTTTCCCGGGCTGTAACACCTTTTTGGGGGTGTTTAGGGCATTCAGCAGCACTTTCTGCCCCTAAAGACCGACCAGTGCCTCGGCCTGGCTGTGGCAGGGAGTAAAAAATGACTTTATTTTGGCCAGTTGCTGCAGGGGTTTTGCAGCATGCAGGGGGTGGAGCGGCAGCTCCCGATGTACACGGGGAAGGGGCTTTTTTTAGGATGGAACACTTCAAATTGCAACCTGGCAGCTTGAAAAAGCCCCTCCGAGACCCCCCGGGGGGGCTGAGATGAAACCCTGCCCGTTACCCACGAGGATTTTTGGAGAAGCTCCTGCCAAGGAGAGCTCCCCCTGGGCCTGGTCCCTCTCGGGGCGGCCCCGAGGAGGAGGAGGAGGAGGCGAAGGCCGCGGTTACGGGGCGGAAAAGGAAATTCTCATCCCGTTGCCTAAACCGGAGGCTCCTCACCAAAACCAGCCGAGACCAGGGCGGGACAGGGTGACACCAGGAAGGTTTAGGGCGGTCTAGTGCAGGGCGAGGAGGACGAGGAGCAGCAGGGCGGGCAGGCAGGCCTCGGCCGGGCGCGGCCGCGCGCCCGACGCCAGCCGGTACTCCTGGTACTGCTGGATGCACATCTCGCGGATCACCTTGGTCACCACGCGCGTCTCCAGCTCCGCCTCCGTCTGGTTGAGGGCCGCGGCGGCCTCCGAGGCGTTCCTCCTGGCGGCGGGGCCGATGTTGTGCTCGGTGACGGTGATGTTGAAGCAGTCGGCCACGAAGACGTCCTGCGGCACCGGGCCGCGGTAGTCGCGGTAGTAGACCTGGTTGGGGTAGCGCGCGGCGTTCTGGCTCCACCAGCGGTACTCGTCGGGGCTGTCGAAGCTGTAGTGCATGCCCGACATCACCCTGCCCATGGCGTAGCCCCCCAAGCCCCCCACCACGGCGCCCGCCGCCGCCGCCCCCGCCACGTGCTTGAAGTTGGTCTTGGGTTTAGGCGCCTTCCACGGCTTTTGGTGGTAAGTCCCTCCGCTGGACGGGTTGTAGCCCTGGCCCCAGCCTGGGTAGCCGGGGTTGTGGGGGTAGCCGGGGTTGTGGGGGTAGCCCGGGTTGTGGGGGTAGCCGGGGTTCTGGGGGTAGCCGGGCTGCCGGGGGTAGCTGGGCTGGCGGCTGCCCGCGCCCCAGCCGGGTTTGCCTTTGCCCTTCTTGCAGCAGGCGAGGTCGGTGCAGGCGCCCAGCAGCAGCAGCAGCAGCAGGCAGGAGGTGCCCAGGAGCCGGGCCATGGCTGCGGGGACAGGGACACGTCAGGGCAGGGCACAGAAACACGGCTGGGCCCGCAAACCCCCTGCAGAATGGACAGCGTTGGACTGGAGGTGTGCTCATCCCCCCCTGAACCCTTTATCTATAATATAGATAGATATAGATATATGTGTGTGTGTATTTATATATATATGTATATATAGAAAAATTTAGTCATTATTGTATTGATATTTTTTAGTTATTCTTGTATTTACATGTATTATTATTGTATATATGCTTATTTATATGTATGTATTTATTTTTAATATATGTATATGCATGTATTTATTTTTAATATATGTATAGATATATTTCTATTTATATTTATAAATATAAATATTTATATTATATTTCTATTTATATTTATAAATATTTATATTTATATTTATATTTATATTTATATTTATATTTATATTTATATTTATGTGTAGAAATATATATTTTTTTAATATATATTTTTGTTGTTGTTTTCGTGTTTTGGGGTTTTTTTATTTGGTTTGTTGTTGTTGTTGTTTTTATATATCCCCCAACAGGACCCCTGCTGGCAATGGCAGCTTCAAGTGGTGAAAGAAAAGCCCTGGGGAGAAATTGCTTCACCCGATTTTGAGATCAAACCCCGCTTATCAAACCCCGCTTATCAAACCCGCCCTAGCCAGTCCGGGCAGAACGAGATCCCTGCCGTGCCACCCTCGGTGCCAGGATGGGTCCAGCCCAGCCCCGAAGCTTTTGGGCTCTGGTGCTGCAGGAGGCACCGCCCAGCCAGGCCCCGGGGGGTTCTTTTCCCAAAATCTGCGTGTTTTACCCAAATTCCTGCTCATTAATGGGCACTTTTGGGATTCAGACTCTGCCAGCTCGCAGTGACTCAGTGAATGCCAGTTTGCTGTTGGCATTCCGGGCACCTCCCACACTGCCCGGGGACAAATCCCAATTCCAGGGGGCATAAACCCCATCTCCAGGGGGATAAACTGCATTTCTGTGGGGGATAAATCCCATTTCCAGGGGGGATAAATCCCATTTCTAGGGGGGATAAACCCTATTTCCATGGGGGATAAATCCCATTTCCAGGGGGGATAAACCCCATTTCTGTGGGGGATAAACCCCATTTCCAGGGAGGACAAATCCCATTTCCAGGGGGAATAAACCCCATTTCTGTGGGGGATAAACCCCATTTCTGGAGGTGATAAATCCCATTTCCTGAAGGAATAAATCCCATTTCCAGGGGGGATAAATCCCATTTCCAGGGGGGATAAACCCCATTTCCCTGGGGAATAAACCCCATTTCTGTGGGGAATAAACCCCATTTCTGGAGGGGATAAATCCCATTTCCTGGGGAAATAAATCCCATTTCCAGGGGGCATAAATCCCATTTTCACCCCTCTGTGCATAATCCGGCCAGGACAAGGGACAATCCCCAGGGACAATCCCCAGGGACAATCCCCCCTGGGGCTGCAAATCCTTTGGAAAACACCTCAAAGACCAAAAAAACCCCAAAAAGCCCAAACTGCCAAACCCCTTTAACGCTCCTGGCAATGCCAGGGGCACTGGGTTCGACGTGCCATAAAAAAGGGATTTTCCATCCTGCCCCCCAAAAAAAGCGTGGGTGGGCGTTTCAGCATCCCTGGATGCGCCTTCCTGCCCGTGGAAATAATTCAGTTTGGGTCCTAAATTAATTTTTTTCCAGCAATTATGGAGTTGTCCCAGGAATAATCATAACAGAGGCTGGAGATGCTGAATTTTCCTACAGCCAAAAAGGCCAAAGGAGCCCCTGCTGAAGGCAGAAATTCTTCTGTTGCCACCTGGGCACGGATTTGTGGGCCACAAAAATCAAATTCATCTCTTTGGGTTCTCAGTGATGGTTTTTTTCTCCCCTTTTCCAGTCATAAATCTGGGTTTATATCCAGAAATATTGAAATGAAAGGCCCTCCGAGCCCAGTGCTTTGGGTGGGATCGTTGGCAAGGCCCCGAATAAAACCTCGGGGGGATGGGGAGGAATTCCAGGTGTGGGATTTGCTCCTTCGTGGAAAAATCCCGGCTCAAGGAGCAGGTTTGGGCTCCTCGCCTCCCTCACCCCGCAGCACCCACCCGCTGGGGGCAGGGATGAGATCAGGGGGGTTAAAAATAGCCAAAAGGCTGGAAAAACACCCGGCTCCTCGGGTGCTCGGCAAAACGAGGCATGGGGAGGAAAATCCAGAGAAATGGGCATTTTTTAAAATAGATTTTTGGAGGTGCCGCTCCCCGCTGTGAGCTCTCGCTGGGGGCAGGGATGAGATCAGGGGGGTTAAAAATAGCCAAAAGGCTGGAAAAACACCCGGCTCCTCGGGTGCTCGGCAAAACGAGGCATGGGGAGGAAAATCCAGAGAAAAGGGCATTTTTTAAATAGATTTTTGGAGGTGTCGCTCCCCGCTGTGAGCTCCGAGGGGTTAAAAACCGGGCCTTGGTTGAATTAAAAATTAAAAATTAAAAATCAAAAATTAAAAATTAACTCCGAGGGGTTAAAAACCGGGCCTTGGTGGAATTAAAAATTAAAAATCCTGGTTGGAGGGGGTTGTGGCAAAGCACTGCGATGGTTTTAGTGAGGAAATCGCGGGGTTTGGGGCTGGTTCAGGGATCTGGCAGCGCTGAGCTGCTCCTCTAATTGCCTTCAGAGCTCTGATAAACAGGATACAGGCGCTAATTAGCGCGCCCCAAATAAACGAGCTGCCCGGCCAAAGCCCTGAAGGAGCTGCTTCCTGGGAATCCGGGATTTTCCCCCGGACAAAAAAAAAAAAAATAAAAAAAAATCCCAGATTTCTCGAGGTGCTATTTATGGCCTGACCATGGCATTAATATTAAATGACAGATCGAGTGACTTCACAGGGATTTTTTAACATTTTTTTGACCTTCCTCGCCTAGACTGGCGCGGCCGGCGGATGCTGGAAATGAGGAATTAATTCGGGTGGTTTTCATCCGTGCCGGAGGAACCTCGCCTAGACTGGCGCGGCCGGCGGATGCTGGAAATGAGGAATTAATTCGGGTGGTTTGGTTTTCATCCGTGCCGGAGGAACCCTGCGCTCCCGCAGCGGAAAATGGAGGCAGCAATTACGTGCTCAGCCTTGGCAAGGAGGAGGTTTCGCTTGCGGGGGAAAAACCAACACCCGAGTGCCAAAATACGGCTGGAAATAACCTCGGGGAGGTCCCCGGGGAGGCGGAGAGGGAGTGGGGAAGGTGGAGGTGAGAGGATGCTCGGGCACGGGGGAGTCCGGACCCTCCTGCGCTGAAAATCCCGGCCTGGGCTTCGGGGGAATCGGAAAATAAATGGGAATTTCCCTGAAAATGCCACGCCTGGGTTTAGAAATCTCCCCCTCGCCCCTTTCCTTCCCTTCCCCAAACAATGAGGAGCGGCTGGCGCTCGGGGGAAAGGCAGAACCCTCGGAGGAGAAATTCCCGACGTTGAGCAAACGCTGAGTAAACAAGAACCGGGCAGGAGCAGGGCGCTGGCTTTGCAGGAGCCGCTGGAAATGTCAATTTTTGGGCAGGAAAAGAGGCAGCCCCGGGGCTCCAACCCCCCTCGCCTCCCGGTTTTCCCTCCCCGGTCCCGTTTTCCCCGGCACTCACCGGCTGGGAACGCGCTGCGCGCTCGCTCCGAGGAGATTCAGCCGCGGAGCTCCGCGCAGGAATAAATAGCGAGAGGGAGGAGCTGCTCCAGAGCAGCCCGGCCCCGCTGAGCCATCATCATCATCATCATCATCGTCATCCCTCAGCCATGCCGCTCCCCCGGGAAAGCCGCGGGCGGTCCCCGAAACCCGCGGCGTCACCCCAAAGCTTCGCCCCGAGCATCCCCCGGGCCCCGCAGGCGGAGGAGGGCCGGGGAATCGCGGGGTTGGGGTTTTATTGGGGAGTTAGCGGGGCTTGAGGCTGATCCTAAAACCTTGGAAAACTGCAGAGCACGGATGGTTTTATTGGGGAATTATCAGGGCTTGAGGCTGATTTGAAAATCTGGGAAAACTGCAGAGCATGGATGGTTTTATTGAAGAATTATCAGGGTTTGAGGATGATTGTAAAATCCGGGAAAACTGCAGAACATGGATGATTTTATTGGAGAATTATCAGGGTTTGAGGCTGATCCTAAAACCTTGGAAAACTGCAGAGCATGGATGGTTTTATTGAAGAATTATCAGGGTTTGAGGATGATTGTAAAATCCGGGAAAACTGCAGAACATGGATGATTTTATTGGAGAATTATCAGGGTTTGAGGCTGATCCTAAAACCTTGGAAAACTGCAGAGCATGGATGGTTTTATTCAAGAATTATCAGGGTTTGAGGTTGATGTAAAAACCTTGGAAAACTGCAGAACATGGATGGTTTTACTGGAGAATTATCAGGGTTTGAGGCTGCTGATATAATCTTGGAATATTGCAGCAGCTGGATTTTATACTGAGGAAATATCAGGGCTTGAGGCTGATCTTAAAACCTTGGAAAATTGAAGAACACGGATGGTTTTATGGAAGAATTATCAGGGTTTGAGGCTGATTTGGAAATCTGGGAAAACTGCAGAACATGGATGGTTTTATTGGGGAATTATCGGGGCTTGAGGCTGATCTTAAAACCTTGGAAAACTGCAGAGCATGGATGGTTTTATTGGAGAATTATCAGGCTTTGAGGCTGATTTGAAAATCCTGGAATATCGCAGCATTTGGATTTTGTACTGAAGGAGGATCAAGGCTTGGAAAATCCTGGGAAATTGCAACATCTTGGTGGTTTATTGAAGAAATACCGAGCGGAATGAGGAGGTTTGGGGCCGTTTTGGGAACCTTGGAAAATCCCAACGCTTGGATATTTTTAAAGGAAGATGCACCAGGGTTTGGGGTGGGTTGGAAATCTGGAATGTGGGAGAGGCCAGGCTGCTTTTAGCAGCTGCTGCCTGCAGCTCCAAATCCATGATCCCGTGGGGCAGAGCTGCTCCCAGGGCTGGTGGAGGGGAAATCAAACTCCAGAGCTCTGGGAGAAAGGAGGGCTTTGCCTCTCAGAGCTTCAGAGGAGCAGAACTCGCTCCTGCCACCTCCAATTGTGTCCAGGAATCCTGAAACCCAACGGGAGGAAATGCCACAGAACGCAAATAAAAATCTCATGGGATGGCAAAAATGGGGAGGGTTTGGTGGGTAAAGATACAGCAGTGGAATAGACAGAGATCTGAAGACCAGAATGGGGGGTTCCCCAAATTTTCGGGTTTTTCCCAACTTTTAGGAAGTGTCCTGGGAGGTGTCCCTGCCACGGATGGGTTTTAAGGTCCCTTCCAACCCAAATCCCAGGATTTTATGGTTTGAACACACCCCAAACCCTCCTGAGGCTGCCCAGAAATGCTGGGCCAGGAACGACCATCCTGGATGGAAAAGGGATTTTTCCTCCGCTGTGTCCATCTGGGTTATGTTTCAACCAAATGAAATTAAAGTGGTTTCTCCCTGGCAGGGAAATGGGAAACACAAACGTTAATCCAGGCAGGAGAAGATGGAATAAGCAGGATTGAGGTCTGGGGAAGCCCTGCCCTGCAGCGGGGATTCATTCCCAGTGTGGATGTGCAGATGGCTCCTGGTTTGGGTTTAAATATTCACCCAAATATTTGGATGGTTGGGTTTTAAATATTCACCCAAATGCCACGCCAAGGAAAAGGAAGGAACCAGGAATGGTGGATTAATCCTGCATGAATCTAAAAATCAGGGGTTTGCTGGAGTAATTTATTCCAGGAGAACAGCAACAAGGGAAAATCATTCAAATGAAAAGAACGTTTACTGATAATTGTGCTGTGGCCAGCACTGAAAAATAAACATTTTTTTTTCAAGGAACAGAAATTCTGTTTGCATCGACAGAGACACTTTGCCAGCTCCCAGCTGCACAGCAAGCAGGAGCATGGATTATTAATGGATTTTTAATTCACTGTGGAGCTCCTCGGGGCTGAGGCTCTTTAATGGATTTTTGGCATCCCGGGGTGAAATTTCTGTTTCAAAATCTCAGCCTCCTCCCAGGAGCTTTGGCCCCTCTGCATCCGGGGTGGGATTGGTGCCCAGCACTCGTGGTGGCAGGAGGTTTCCTCAGGAGATGCTGCTGAGCTGGGGAGGAGCAAAGTCCATCTCCTCCGCGGCCCCAACGGCGGTCACTGTTGGGTTTTGTTCTTTGGCCTCACTGGAAGGGATTTGGTTCAGCCAGGCCTGGCTTTGCAAGGCACGGTGAATGTTTGACCCGTTTGGGGTTAGAATGGCCATCCACGGGGCTAAAATGTTCATTTATTGGGGTAAAAATGTTCATTTATTGGGTTAAAATGTCCATCCATGGGGCTAAAATGTTCATTTATTGGGGTTAAAAATGTTCATTTATTGGGGTTAAAATGTTCATTTATTGGGGTTAAAAATGTTCATTTATTGGTATTAAAATGTTCATCTATTGGGGTTAAAATGTTCATTTATTGGGGTTAAAATGTTCATCTATTGGGGTTAAAATGTTCATTTATTTGGGTTAAAAATGTTCATCTATTGGGGTTAAAGTGTTCATCTATTGGGATTAAAATGTTCATTTATTGGGGTTAAAATGTTCATTTATTGGGGTTAAAATGTTCATTTATTGGGGTTAAAAATGGCCATCCATGGGGCTAAAATGTTCCTTTATTGGGGTTAAATGTTCATTTATTTGGGTTGAAAATATCCATTCATTGGGATTAAAATGTTCATCTGTTTTGGTTATAAATGTCCACCCATGGGTTATGATTATTTTAGGGTGAGGATCTTTATCCATGGGTTATAAATGTCCATCCATGGGGTTTAAAATGTTAATTAATTGGGGTTATGATTATTTTAGGGTTAGAATCTTTATTCATTGGGGTTTAAAATCTGTATCCATGGGGTTATAAATGTCCATCCATGGAATTGGGGTTAAAAATGTTCATTTATTGGGGTTAAAAATGTTCATTTATTGGGGTTAAAGTGTTTATTTATTTGGGTTAAAATGTTCATTTATTGGGGTTATGATTATTTTAGGGTCAGGATCTTTATCCATGGGTTTTAAATGTCCATCCATTGGGGTTATAAATGTCCCTCTATGGGGTTAAAAATGTTCATTAATTTGGGTTAAAAATGTTAATTCATTAGTATTATGATTATTTTAGGGTCAGGATCTTTATCCCAGGGTTATAAATGTCCATCATGGGGTTATGATTATTTTAGGGCTAGAATCTTTATCCATTGGGGTTTTAAATCATTATCTATTGGGGTTATAAATGTCCATCCATGGGGTTATAAATGTTCATTAATTGGGGTTATGATTATTTTGGGGTCAGGATCTTTCTCCCAGGGATATAAATGTTCATTAATTGGGGTTATGATTATTTTGGGGTCAGGATTTTCTCCCAGGGATATAAATGTCCCTGAGCTGCTCCAATCCGCTCAGGGCAGTGCTGAGCCCTGGCCCCTGGGATCAGCTCCACGGCCAGGCCGGGCACGGCGTCACCCGCAGACAAAAACCGGCTTTTATTAAAAAAAATAACATTATAGTGATCGTTTGGGGCAAAAAAATTGGATTTAGGGACAAAAATTGGTAATAAAAGTGCTTTGAAGTGGGGAAAAATTGAGTTTTTGAGGCTTTTATTTAAAAAATAACATTACAATGCTCGTTTGGGGTAAAAAAATTGAATTTAAGGACAAAAATTGGTAATAAAAGTGCTTTGAAGTGGGGGAAAATGGAGTTTTTGAGGCTCTTTCTGGATGAGGTGGTGGGAGATGGGAGCAGCCAGTCCTTGTTTGCTGCCTGCTCCAGTTGCAGCCTGGCACTGGAGATAAAAATAAAAATAAAAATTTAAATAAAAATAACAATAAAAAATTGAAATAAAAATAAAGATAATAAAAATAAAAAATAAGAATTAAAAATAAGAATAAAAATAAAAATAAAATAAATAAAAAGAAAAATAAAAAAATAAAAATAAAAATAATAAAAAAATAAAAATTGAAATAAAAAGAAAAAGAAAAATTGAAATAAAAATTAAAATAAAGACAAAAATAAAGACAGAAATAACTGCAGTGCCTGGCAACAACAACCCCAGCAATCCCCTGCTGTGCCTGCCCTTCCAGAAAGGGCTCCTTGTGCAGAAAAATCTCCTTTTTCTGCTGGAACAAAACCCAAACACGGCGTCCCCAAGCACAGCGTTCCTGCCCAGGCTCCGGGGACAAACCCGCTGCCAGAAACGCCTCGGTTCCCAGAACCTCCCGAGATTCCCGGCAAAACTCCCCCGAAATTCCCAGAACCTCCCCCGAAATTCCCAGAACCTCCCCCGAAATTCCCAGAACCTCCCCCGAAATTCCACCGCTCCTTGGCAGCAAAATCGCATTATTTGTTTTCCCCCCCCGGGTCACGCGTGACTCACGGGGAGCTTCTCCTTTTTCCTTTTCCCTCCCGTTTCTTTGGAGTTTTGCCGGCCTGGCAGGGAGCCGGGCATCAGGTGCCAGCGGTGAGGTCAGAGGCACGGGAATATCCCGGGACGGGCCCGGAGCTGCCGCTGCTGCCCGGGGGAGCTCGGGGCTTGGAAATTCGGACACAGGGAGCGGCGGGAATTCGGGGTTTAAATCCTGGGCAGGGAATTCTCGGTGATTCTCCTGGCTGGGCAGGAAAAGGGCAGGCTTGGAGGGAGCCGCGGGAATTCGGGGTTTAAATCCTGGGCAGGGAATTCTCGGTGATTCTCCTGGCTGGGCAGGAAAAGGCAGGAAAAGGTCGGGAAAAGGGCAGGAAAAATCAGATTTCCCCCTGGGAAAAGGGGGTTTGGGCAGAGCTGGACCCCAAAAAACGCAGATTTTAATTTAAATTTTTAATTTTTAATTTATTTTTTTTAAGTCAGGCGATAGACTGAAACAGAAAAATAGCTTTTAAACCAAGTAATAATATTTATAAATTAGTTAATCAATTAATTTTTAAAATAAGTTAAATAATGAGAGAAATAATTTTTAAAATAATATTTATATATATATTATATATAAGTCAATTAATTAAGTAATAAAAAGTTAAATAATTTTAAATCTAAATAATAGGTTTTTAAAAATAAGTTAACTAATTCATTTTTAAAATAAGTTAAATAATAAGAAAAATAATTTAAAAAATAAGATAAAAATTAACTTTCACCTTTTTTAACAATATTTTTCTTTGTTGCAGCGGGTTCTGGCCCAGCTCTCCACCTTGTTTATTCACCTGAGGACTGCACAAGTTTTCTCCTGCCCTGCCCTGGATTCTCGGGGAGGACGAGATGACTCAACCCAACAAATCCTCTTATGGTGAGGAGATTTCCCAGCACTTGAAAGGCTCTTTATAAAGTTTGTCTTTATTGAGGCACCAGAGAAGTTTTATACACCAAAAATTAAAAAAAATAATTATAATATAATATAATATAATATAATATAATATAATATAATATAATATAATATAATATAATATAATATAATATAATATAATATAATATAATATAATATAATATAATGTAATGTAATGTAATGTAATGTAATGTAATGTAATGTAATATAATATAATATATATTATACTATATTAAATATAATATATTATATAAATATAATATAAATTATATAGTATTCTATAATCTATATTATATTAAATAGAATATAAATAAAATATACGTTACATCATATTCTATATATTATATTATATTATATTATATTATATTATATTATATTATATTATATTATATTATATTATTTTTTACATTTATTTTATTATATTATACTTTAATAACATCAACCCATGATTAAATCCCAAACCTGTGGCCCGGGAAGGAGGAGCCCAAAGCCGGAGCAGAGTCCCGGGGGAGGCTCCGAGGATGCTGCTGGCGTTGCCATGGGCACGGGGCCGTTGCCATGGCTACCGAGGGATGCAGGAGCGGCTGCTGGAGATAAACCCGGCTCAGAACCCCCCGCAGGCTTAGCTGGGCTGGAGCTGCGGCTCCGAGGGGATTTATCCCGGAAAATTGGGATTTTGTAAGGAAAAACTGCATTTTGTGAGGTGTTCTGTGGTGGGTTCCCTCAGGGCTTTGGGTTCCAAAGGGATTTATTCAGGAAAATTGGGATTTTGTAAGGAAAAACTGCATTTTGTGAGGTGTTCTGTGGTGGGTTCCCTCAGGGCTTTGGGTTCCAAAGGGATTTATTCAGGAAAATTTGAATTCATTTAGGAAAAACTGCATTGGGATCTTGTCCCTCACTGAATGAAATCCATTTGGGAATTGGGATTTTGTCCCTCAGTGAATAAAATCCAGCTGGGAATTGGGATTTTGTCCCTCACTGAGTAAAATCCTTCTGGGAATTGGGATTTTGTCCCTCAGTGAATAAAATCCAGCTGGGAATTGGGATCTTGTCCCTCACTGAGTAAAATTCATTTGGGAATTGGGATTTTGTCCCTCAGTGAATAAAATCCAGCTGGGAATTGGGATCTTGTCCCTCAGTGAATAAAATCCATTTGGGAATTGGGATCTTGTCCCTCAGTGAATAAAATCCATTCAGGAATTGGGATCTTGTCCCTCAGTGAATAAAATCCATTTGGGAATTGGGTTTTTCTCCCTCAGTGAATGAAATCCATTCGGGAATTGGGATTTTGTCCCTCAGTGAATGAAATCCATTCGGGAATTGGGATTTTGTCCCTCAGTGAATAAAATCCAGTCGGGAATTGGGATTTTGTCCCTCAGTGAATAAAATCCATTCGGGAATTGGGATTTTGTCCCTCAGTGAATAAAATCCATTCGGGAATTGGGATCCCGTCCCTCCCCCACTCCTTGCTGCAGAAAGGGCTTTAAAAGGAGCATTTTGGGGATGAAATTCTGAACCATTCCCCACAGCAGCTGCTTTGTGTCCCAGCTTCCCGAGCTGTTTTTAGGGGATGACGAGAAAAACGGATGGAAGAGGTCACAGACCCTTTTTGTGGAGCAGAAAAAGAGGCTGGTGTTCATGCAAACAGGGAGGAAAATCGGGGGAAATGCAGAAAGAATGGGGAAATTGAATGCTGCTACAATTGCAGGAATGAGCTGAGCCTGCCTGCACTTTTCCTGCATTTCTGCTCCGTTCCGGGAATAGAGAAGAGCAATTTGGGCCCTGAAATGGGAAATTTATAAACAACTTGTGGCCTGAAATGGGAAATTTATGAACAATTCGGGCCCTGAAACAGGAGCTGGGCAGCAGCAGCTGGCTGAGCAGAGCTGCCAGGGCTGCTGAATTATTGATTATTTATGGATTATTGACACTTCCCGGGGCAGCAGGAGCGAGCTGAGGGGCTGAATTCCAAGGGGGGTTGGCGAAGGGAAATGGTTTAATCAACACCAGATGGTGAAGTGCTTAGAAGGTAAAGAACACAGATCCAGATAAAGTGAGATAGAGGAAAAAAAAACAAAACTCAAAAAACAGGGATCCAGATAGAGAGAGATAGAGAAAAAAACCCTCAAAGAACAGGGATGCAGATAAAGTGAGATAGAGGAAAAAACAAAACTCAAAGAACAGGGATCCAAATAAAGAGAGATAGAGAAAAAAACACCTCAGAGAACACAGATGCAGATAAAGTGAGATAGAGAGAAAAAACCCCTCACAGATACAGATCCAGATAAAGTGAGACAGGAAAAAACCAAAACTCAAAGAACAGGGATCCAGATAAAGTGAGTTAGAGGAAAAAAACAAAACTCAAAGAACAGGGATCCAGATAAAGTGAGATAGAGGAAAAAAACAAAACTCAACGAAAAGGGATCCAGATAAAGTGAAATAAAGAAAAAAAACTTCAGAGAACACAGATGCAGATAAAGTGAGATAGAGAGAAAAAAACCCCTCACAGATACAGATCCAGATAAACTGAGGTAGAGGAAAAAACACCTCAGAGATCACAGATCCAGATAAAGTGAGACAGGAAAAAACATTTCACAGAACACAGGTCCAGACAAAGTGAGATAGGAAAAAACCCCTCACAGAACACAGATCCAAACTGAGATAGAAAAAACCAAGCCCCTCTGACAGAGGAGACACCAAATCATTTTGAAAATCCACTTAGCAGCTGGCAATGAGCTGATTCAGTCTGGAATTTATCAGTGCAGTAATGAAAGGAGACAAGGTGCCTCTGTGAGGGTGGGGCTGCAGGTTGATCACAAACCCTGGCTCTGCCTGAGGTGAGGAATCATTACCCAGCTCATCCTCACTTTGTATTTTTTCCCCTAGTAAAGAGTGCCCTCCACTTGGTTCAGGACAATTTTCTGGATTATTCGTGGAGGATTTGCCATTAACTCAAAGATCCTCCCATTTTTAATCCATCCACATCCCAGGCCAGGAATATTCATGGACTTATATCAAACATTTATTTTGGGATGAATCCCTCTGCCATTCTTTATCTGTAATTTAGAGTGGCCCAGCTACCAGAAATAATCTCAGCAAAAGATCCAGCTCAATTAATCTAATTTCTTTGCAAACCCACTGGATTTGATGACGCCAAAGGTCTTTTCTAGCCTAAACAACTCCAGGTTTGTCTCTGTGATTTGTTTAATCAGTGAATAGGTTCAGTAAATGTTATTGCTTTTATGCTTTTTAACATTAAAAGTCCATAATCCCTTTTTGCTCTCCTGCACCACCAAGTGGAGATTACAGTATTTAAAATATGGCACTGCTGTGGAGAGTATAAAAAATTATTATAAAAAATAAAGTTCTAAAATAAATTATAAACAATAAATTTATAAAATAAAGTTATAAAAGTATTGTTATATTAATTTATTATAATAATTTATTAAAATTTATGAATTTTTAAATAAGACAAGCATCTTCTTTTAATAATCTCAGAATTTTTAGGCCTTCAAAATGCATCCAGCTGGGAGCTTTATATTTCCTGGCTGAACCCCAGGCAAGAATATTTTCCACACACCTCTCCCCACTATAACCCACTCTGATCCCCAAATCCTCCATTTTAACGCTGATTTTTGGTACCATCAGATGGTTTCTGTGTGGGCTGAGGACAGCCCTGGGGATGGGGGTTCCTGCAGAAATCTTTTTGGGGTTTCCACTGTAAATCCCTTTAGAAAAAACCTTTTCCAGTGCTGACCTCTGCAGGCTGAGGAACTGCTTAAAACCCCGGGCAGCAATAACCTAAATAATGCATAAAGCAGGTGTTTTTACTGCTGCTGGCTGTGGGCAGGAAAAGCCTATAATAAAATAAAAAAACCCTATAAATAATGCATAAAAATGGGGCATTTCTCTCTCTGCGGGCAGACAGAGAGCGTTTATGGGGAGGGAAATCCTCGTTTGATGGATCTGCAAACCCCTGGATGGGTTCTGTGAATAATTTTCTTGGACAAAGCCCTGCCAAACCAGGGGGAGAAGGATCTGAATGAAAAGCAGGAATTTCACACCAAAAAAAATTCACAAATCGGGAGATAAAGGGCTGGGCTTCCTTGGGATGGGGGCAGAGGCTCCTGCCCACACCAGGGGATGGATCAAGATGATTTTTAATGTCCCTTCCAACCCAAACCATTCCACGGTTGTTCCCACAGCCAACCCCCCCTTCACCTGCAGTTTCAGCCTGGAGCCCCCAGCTCTAATTAAGCACAAATTAAGCTCTAATTAACAGCACCTCGAGGCCAGGAGGGCCCCCACCCCTGCAGTGGGGTTATTGGGGGTGGAGATGGGGGTCCCATGGGGTTTGGGCCATCCATGTCCTCGGGCCCAGAGCCCCTCAGTCCTGGAGCCCTCATGGCCGTGTCACCCCCTTGGTTCTGGAGCCCTCATGGCCGTGTCACCCCCTTTTTTCTGGACCCTCATGGCCCTGTCACCCCCTTGGTCCTGGAGCCCTCATGGCCCTGTCACCTCCTCAGTCCTGGAGCCCTCATGGCCCTGTCACCCCCTTGTCCTGGAGCCCTCATGGCCGTGTCACCCCCTCGGTTCTGGAGTCCTCATGGCCATGTCACCCCCTTGGTTCTGGACCCCTCATGGCCGTGTCACCCCCTTGGCCCTGAAGCCACCTTAGGCCTGGCCCTGGACCCTCATGGCCGTGTCACTCCCTCAGTCCCTGAGCCCCCATGGCCATGTCACCCCCTCAGTCCTGGATCCCCCATGGCCGTGTCACCCCCTCAGCCCTGGATCCCCCATGGCTGTGTCACCCCCTTGGCGCTGGAGCCACCTCAGGCCCGTCCCCACGTCCCTGTCACCCCCTCAGCCACAACCCCAGTCCTGGAGCCCCCTCAGCTCCTGAACCCCTCTGGCCACAATCCTGGCCCCAGAGCCCCTCTCAGTCCTGGAGCCCCCTCAGCCATAACCTCAACCTTGAAGTCCCCCTAAACCCCTTCAAACACAAAACCATGGTGTCCCCTCAGCCCCAGAGCCCCTTCAGACCCCAAAAGCCCCAACCCTAAAGCCCCCCTTGATCACAGCAACATCCTCGGCCCTCTCATCCCAAAACCCCTCGGCCATGGGCTCCCCTCATCCCAAAACCCCTGAGCCATGGGCTCCCCTCACCCCAAAAACCCCTCAGCCATGGGCTCCCCTCATCCCAAAGCTCCTGAGCCATGGGCTCCCCTCACCCCAAAAACCCTCGGCCCTACAGCCCCCTCACCCCAAAGCCCCTCAGAACCTTCCCTGTGGATAACGGGAACATGAAGGGAGTGAACAAAAGAGCCAGAGGCAGATTTTAGGGGAGAGTTTTAATGTGCCCCACACCGCCCGGGGGTGCCGGGAGTGGGGGATTGCTGTGGGGTGTGAGAGGGGTGGGGGAGCCTTCCCTTCCAGCCGGGAGCCCCCCAGAGATCCCAAATCTCCGGGTGCCCCACACCCAGGAAGGACGCCAGACCCCAAAGGACACCGAGAAAGGGGACACGTCAGAGGGATCCAAAGCCCTGAGGGGTGCCAGAGGGATCCGGAGCTTTGGCACGGGTTTGGGTTTGGGTTTGGGTTTGGGTTTGGGTTTGGGTTTGGGTTGGGTTTGTGGCAGCTCCTGGGGCGCCGCACCCGGCAGAGCCCCGTCCTAGAGCTTGAGCGCTGTGACACGGGGGATGTGGAAGGGACAGGTCTCCTCTGACCCCGTGGAGCTGCAGAAGAGACGGAGAGAGCCCGAGGGATGGTCAGGGAGGGGTCCACACCCCCATCCCCGTGTCCTCCCCATCCCCTTGTCCTCCTTGTCCCCGTGTTCTCCCCATCCCTTTGTCCTCCCTGTCCCCGTGTCCTCCCCATCCCTTTGTCCTCCCTGTCCCTGTGTCCTCCCCATCCTCTTGTCCTCCTGCCCCGTGTCCTCCCCATGCCTTTGTCCTCCTTGTCCCCGTGTCTTCTCCATCCTCTTGTCCTCCTGCCCCGTGTCCCCCCCGCCCCCGTGTCCCCCTGTCCCCTTGTCCCCCGTGTCCCTCACATGAGGCGGTTGCGGATGGGGCGGAAGTGTTTGGTGAGTCTGACGGCGAAGATGATGCTGGGGATGAGGAAGAAGGTGCAGCAGCCCAGGCTGAACCAGAAGGCGTTCTGCAAGGAGAACCCGCGGGGCTGAGCGGTGCCGGGGGCCACGGGCAGCCCCGGGGCTCCGGAGGCCTCGGGGAGCCCCGGTGCCCGAGGAGGGGGATCCCTACCCAGGGCTCAGCGATGCGGTCGCACAGGATGACCCGCCCGTTGTCCAGGGCCGTGGCGAGCGGCTGGCACGAGGCCACGTCCTCCCTCAGCTGCAAGGAGGAGCAGAGACAAGGCATCAGCCCACGCCTGGCTGCTGGCCTGCATTTTGCTCGTGGGGGGGATCCATGGGCCCCAAAAATGCCCGCGGGGTCACGGGGAGCTCTCACCGTCTGCCCGACCCAGTTGAGGTACTGGGTGAAATAGCGCAGCTCCTTCCTGGTGAAGCAGCCGAGCTCCTGCGCGGGGGGAGGCAGCGTGGGGGGAGAATCCCACACTTCCCAGCCCGGATTTAACCCCAGCTCCCAGTTCTGATTCAGCCCCACACTTCCCAGCCCGGATTTAACCCTCATTTCCCAATCCGGATTCAGCCCTGCAATTCCCAGCCCTGGCTGCTGGCCTGCATTTTGCCATGGGGGGGATCCATGGGCCCCAAAAATCCCCGCGGGGTCACGGGGAGCTCTCACCGTCTGCCCGACCCAGTTGAGGTACTGGGTGAAATAGCGCAGCTCCTTCCTGGTGAAGCAGCCGAGCTCCTGCGCGGGGGGAGGCAGTGTGGGGGGAGAATCCCACACTTCCCAGCCCGGATTTAACCCCAGCTCCCAGTTCTGATTCAGCCCCACACTTCCCAGCCCGGATTTAACCCCAGCTCCCAGTTCTGATTCAGCCCCGCACTTCCCAGCCCGGATTTAACCCTCATTTCCCAACTGATCTCCAGCCCTGCAATTCCCAGCCCAGATTTAACCCACACTCCCCATCCCAGCTCCATCCCCGCATTTCCCATCCCAGCTCCATCCCCGAATTCCCCAGCCCGGCTCCATCCCCAGATTTCCCAGCCTGGTTCCATCCTCACATTTCCCATCTTGGCTCCATCCCCGCGTTCCCCATCCTGGTCTCCATCCCTGAATTCCCCAGCCCAGCTCCATCCCAGAGTTCCCCAGCCTGGTTCCATCCCTGCATTTCCCATCCCAGCTCCATCCCTGCACTCCCCAGCCCGGCTCCAGCCTCTCTCCGGGCTAATGCAGGCTGGGAAACAAGGGCTGAAGGCTCCCGGTGCCCTCTTCTCCCTCTTCTTCCATCCCATCCCATCCCATCCCATCCCATCCCATCCCGTTCCACCCCCGCCCAGCCCCGCCTCACCTGCCGCAGGATCTGCTGGGCCTGCAGGGGCAGCCGGGCTTCCACGGAAGCCGTGGTGGCCAGCGTCCTCCTCACCCGCTCCTGGGGAAGCACAGGGAGGGCACAGCACCCTTAGGGCCCGGCGAGGCCGGGGGTGCCCGGGGG